CAATTCCTCTTTGAATGTTTGGTAAAATTCTGCTGTGAATCCATCTGGTCCTGGGCTTCTCTTTGTTGGGAGCCTTCTTATAACAGTTTCAATCTCGTTTATTGTTATTACCCTTCTGTTTTGATTTTCTACCTCTTCATGGCTCAGTTTTGGGAGCTTGTGTGTGTCCATAAATTTATCTATTTCTGGGCCGAGTCCATGGCACACTCGGGAGAGTGCGGTACTGGGAGCGCAGCAGTGCTCCTGCCGCAGGTTCAGATCCTATATAGGGATGACGGGTGCGCTCACAGTGCTCACTGGCTGAGTGCGGTGCGGCCGGTCTCAAAAAGGACAAAAAAACCCCACAAAAAACAATTTATCCATTTCCTCCAGATTTTCAATCTTGTTGGCATATAGTTGTTTATAGTAGTCTCGAATGATTCCTTGTATTTCAGATGAATCATTGTAATATCATCTTTTTCATTTCTAATTTTTGTTATTTGAATCTTTTCTCTTATTTCTTTTGTTAGTCATGCTAATGGTTTGTCAATTTTATTTATCTTTTCAAGAAACAGACTTTTTGATTCATTGATCTTTTGTATTGATTTTGGTTTTCAATTTCACTAAGTTCTGCTCTGATCTTAATGATTTCTTTCCGTCTGCTAACTTTAGGTTTGTATTGTTCTTGTTTTTCTAGTTCTTTAAGGTGAAGTGTTAGGTTGTTCACTTGCCATCTTTCCATTCTTCTGAAGTGAGCATTTAATGCGATAATTTTCCCCCTGGTACTGCTTTTGCAGTGTTCCACAGGTTTTGGTATGATGTATCATTATTTTCATTAGTTTCAATAAATTTTTTGATTTCCTGCTTGATTTCTTCTTGGACCCATATGTCATTAAGTAGAATGCTGTTTAATTTCCATGTGTTTGTATAGTTTCCAGAGTTTCGTTTGTTATTGATTTCTAGTTTTAATCCATTGTGGTCTGAGAAAATACATGGGATAATTCCAATTTTTTTGAATTTGTTGAGACTTGATTTGTGACCTAATATGTGATCTATCCTGGAGAATGATCCATGTGCTGATGAGAAGAATGAATATTCTGAGGTTGTTGGATGGAATGTTCTGTAGATATCTGCCAAGTCCAATTGGTCTATTATGTTGTTAGGATCTTGTGTTTCTCTGCCGATTCTTTCCCTAGATGATCTGTTCAATATTGACAGTGGGGTGTTCAGCTCCCCTGCTATTATGGTATTAGTGTCTATTTACTTCTTTATGTCTAATAGTGTTTGTTTTATAAATGTGGCTGCTCCAACATTGGGTTCATATATATTTATGATTGTTATGCCTTCTTGATGGATCAATCCTTTTATCTTTATGTAGTGTCCCTCATTGTCTCTTTTTATGGTTTTTAGTTTAAAGTCTATTTTATCAGATATAAGAATAGCTACTCCAGCTGGTTTTTCTTTTCTGTTTGCATGGTAAATATTTTTCCATCCTTTCATTCTTAGTCTATGTGAGTCTTCCTGTTGAGGTGGGTCTCTTGAAATCAGCATATAATCGGGTACTCTTTTTTAATCAGTCAGCCAGTCTGTGTCTTTTGATTGGAAATTTAAGCCTTTACATTAAGAGTTTTTATTGAAAAGTGTTGATTTATTCCTAGTATTTTATCGATTATTGTTTGGTTGTCTTAGGCGTCTTTTGTTCCTTGCTTTCTGATTTACACTTTGTGTTCTGTATTTGTTGGTTCCTTGGGTTGTAGATAGCCTTTTTGTTTGTTTTCTCTTCATGAATACCATTTTTATTATACTAGTGGGTTTTGATTTTTCTTGGTTTTTTATGGCAGTGGTAGTTATTTTTCAGGAACCAAACCCAGCACTCCCTTGAGAATTTCTTGTAAGGGGCATGTGGTGGTGAACTCCCACAGTTTTTGTTTGTCTGAGAAATATACTATTTGCCCTTCATTTCAGAAAGATAGCTTTGCTGGGTAGAGTATTCTAAGCTGGCAATATTTCTCTTTTACTATTTTGAATATAATATGCCATTCCTTTCTGGCTTTTAGGGTTTGTGATGAAAGGTCTGATGTTAGTCTGATTGGGGCTCCCTTATAGGTGATTTGTTGCT